CTCTCTCTCTCCCTCCCTCCCTGGTTTGCAAGTAAGTCGCACTGAGGGCATCCCTTCTTCGGCTTCGTTGTCATCTCACTAACAGCGAGGCCAAAGGACCGTCCGAATTCTGTCATGTGCGGCTCAAGAGTCTTCGAGCTGTCGAACTCGAGCAGAGCCTTTCCGATTCCAGCGTGTGACGCAACCTCTGCAACTTCCTTTCGCACCTCTTCAGGACAGCCATGCAGAGATCGTTCTCTGCACCTGCGGCTCGGTGAAACGCAGCCAGACAGGAGGAAAGGATGGTCTTCCGGGTTTCGGGCCCCGTTCTCGCTGTGCTGCAACCTGGAGCCCGTCTCGCCTGCAGGACGTGTCCGCGCTCTTCCCCCGTGCGGTGGGCCTTGAACCAGAGGCGCTGATTCAGCTTAATGGTGAAGGAAATTGACACAACTTGGTACATAGGAAGAAGCAGTGGCATGCGAACTGTGGCTCTCGCCATGTTGTCCAGTTCCGTGGTGGTGCAGCAGCAGTCTGACTCACGAGGAAGGCCTCGATTGGACGTGGTGGTGGGGGGGGGGTGGTTGTTGCTGCCGCTGCTGCCACTGGTCATTCCAAGAACAACTAGATCTCCCGGCGGCTGGCCTCAAGCCTGAGGAACCTCAAGCATTGCAGATTCAAGCCATACATGTTCCAGAGCATCTTAGCAAAGTTGGCTGCTTGGCGTTCAGGTGCCGGATTTCATGCCACGGAAAGCACCGCACCAAGACACTGGATATGCGGTGTGAATCCAGGGAGTCGCGGTTTTGCTGGGGAGCTTGAGCGGTGCCGGTCGGTAGCTTTCGCTGGTTAACTCAGTTTAGGAACCTGTCGATTGGTGATTCAGACATCTTCTTGCTGCGAAGCATCCTGGTTCAGTCGCTTCACAGGGCAAACTTCCAATCCCGACTGCGAGCTCTGACCCTCAAAGCTGAAGACTTCAACACGCAGCCTCCCGTTCTTACGATCGCCTTCCGCTGCAGTGGCTGGCTCCTAAAGGTCCCGCCTGCCTAGCCAACGTAGGCCTTGACCGTGACTTCAAAGAAGTCCGGAAGATGGTCACTGCAAAGGAGTTCACTGCCAAGCGGCTGCGAGAGTTTGGCGAGTCGCTGCTCAATGAGTATGAGATCCTCCTCGCAGGGCAACTCAGGAGGGTCCGGGAGGACCCTCAATCTTTTGGGCGGCTGCATGTCATGTGATGAAACCTTAGTGGCTTCCTTCCAATATCCTGGATCGAACGGACTCAGGTGTAAGCCAGGCCCTTTTAGGCCCCTGTTCTAGCAGCCACCATGCAGGACATGGAAGAGTTTCTCGCCGAAAGGCGGGAGTTGCAAGCCCCAAAACGCTTGTGCAGCTTGCTTCCTTGCCTGCCTTTGAGGTTGCCTGCGCTCCGATCGCAAGCTGAAGCCTCTGTAGAATAGACTAGCCCTAACAGCCTGCTCGCATCAGCTTCCGCACTGCTTTGGAAAAGGGACTCGCCAACAGCTCTGAGCTGCAAGGCCTCCGGAGGCTTCGGTGGTCCGAGAGACCAGCAAGAACAGCAACCGAGTTGTCGTTCGCGGAGCCAGCAAGGTGGGAGGGAGGGTCATGGCGGAGGAGTTTGGAGTTTATGGGTGGTTCAGGGCTTTCGGGGAGGCTGGAGGATTGCCGGCCTCGTGGAATCGCGAACTCCAATGTTTTGGCTTCTCCTTCGACTGTATCTTGAAGTTCCAATTCCCTGATTCTGCTTTGCATTCGTACGATCTGTCTGCTGGTCTCTCCGTGTGTCCCTGTTGTATATGTAGACTACCCCGCACACAGATGCGACACACATGCCCTCGTGCCCTTGACCCATGGAGAGCATGCTCTCATCTATCGAGCTCATTGCTGCTGATAGACATGACATGCATGTAGGCATCCACCTACAAATGCACATGCAGGCGGGCAACATATCCGAGCCCCCTTTGAACCAGGCCAGCACCATCAGCGGTCTGGTGCCGAAGCCGCCGGGCACGGATTCCGTGAATCCCATTACAACTCCCGCGGAAGGGTCGCCATGGGAAGGGGACCTGTGGAAGGTGCAGGAGGACGAAGCGAATGAGGACTCTCCCAGCGAAAAGAATAGTGAATTTATGATGTGCTTGGTGCTCTAACACGACTCTAACCCTAAACCTCAGACCCTACAGGCCTAAGCCCTCCAGCAGGACGAGTCTACTGGGCCAGCCTCTGAAGCGAGTGACAATGACTTTGGGAAGGGATTTGCCCCATCGCCTCAGACGTCGCTACTCTTTCCGGAGTCTCCGCATCCTGGCCAAGAAAGCACGGTTGTGGTGATGATGCTGAAGCACACCATGCTGGTGAAGATGTTCTGTGTTGACGATGATGAGATGCATGATGATCGCGACACAAGAAACACTGAATAAAGCCTTGGATTGGTTCCCAGTCTCAAGGGAAGAGCCGGATTATTGCATCACGGGCGCTTCGTTCTAAGTCATTGAAGCTATCCCAAGCTTGCACAATGCCCATCGCTATCCTACGCATGCCCGGGCCCTACACCTGTAGAGCACTCTAGTGTGCAAAGGGACATGTTAGCAGAGTCGCTGAGCAACCGCACCGCTGTAGCCATGCTGCTCGAGCGACTCTTTTGGCATGGCGGCCTGCAGTGAGCAGGAAGTTCAGGCGGCATTGCGGTGCCTTCCAGCCCACCATGCAGTGGGGCTACGGATGTCTTCGATGCTGGCTTCCAATGGGTGCAGCACGTTCTTCTGAAAGCGTGCCATGGGTGGAGACCCGGGCTTCAGATCGACATCGCAGGTTCCAGACACCAGTGCAGACTGCCACGCCCTGGGGAGGTCATGAGACACTTAGGACCGCTCTCGATGTTAACCCGTCGCAAACCCGTCTCCTTCAGGACAGGGCGGTATGGCTACATGCTGTAGTCCCGGACTGGGGTGCTGCCCAGTTGAGCTTGCGCTTGTTCCTCAGCAGCATCGACTACTCAGTTCAGGACCAGGGTCTGCTCGTAAGTCTTTCGTTGACCCCGGGAAAAGTGCCCGTCCACTTTGATGACAGGCCTTCCGCCACCTTTTCCGCTACAGGGGCGGGCGAGCCAGACATGGATGGTGAAGGGCAGGTGCCGGGATGGGCTCTCACCTGGCATGCTCATAGAGCCCGTGGTGGAGGTGATCGTCGGCACAGATGCGGACGAACCCAGGCCGACGGCTGTGTCAGGGATCCCTCTTCGGGGTGACTCCGGTGCTGGGCGTGGAATCGTGCGGCGAAGAGATCTGGCTCTCCTTCTTCGACGGCGTGGGTTCGGCGGCCATGGCTTGCGATCCCTGAGATCGATCCATGTGCACTGGCCGTCTCGCTCTTGTCGCTGCCTGGTCAGCTCTTTGTGCAGTTCTCGGAGTTCCTGAGGAAGCTTGAGGAGCGCATGAAGATGAAGTTCCACCTCCTCGTGGAGAACGTGCTGTTGCAGACTGTTGCAGAAGTCCACGGACCTTGAGTGGTTCAACAGGGCATTGGATGCCAAACCATTCGCAGCGGATGCGGCCAGCTGCGGGATGGTAAATTGTCCAAGAACATGGTGGTCGAGGATTGGACCAGGACTACCCAGAATCCTTACTGGCCCGACCGCCCCCTGAAGTGGGACAACTGTAAGGCCTCTCCAGGCTGCAGCTGGCTGTCAAACATGATGATCCGGCATCCTTTTCGATGCTTGGGCTGCGCTTTCATGATGAGGTGGCGAGTCGCAAAAGGACACTACTCTGCTTGACGACGCCAGCTCCCACTGATGAGGGCCGGCCACTTGATGGAAACCGCCAATACGCACCTGGGATGTACGAGGAGCATGCGCTCGTCTATGAGACATGTGGGAGCAGCGGCATAACAGCTGGACGTCAGTCATCCTGCTAGACCCTCCCGAGTTGGAGGTAGCAGTACAGAAGACAGTGCAGGCGATCATGCAAGACGGTCCTGGTTTGGCTGCAAAAATGTGGGCTACCCTGAGTCACCTCAGATCCCTCCGGGCACAGATGCAACAACCTGCAGAGTGGTTCAAGGGTCTTCCGAAACAGGTGGCCAGTGCGTATACCTACAATGGTGACAAGATTGTTCAGATGCCCATGCTCATTGCTCATGCGTTTGCTCCCATCCCGACTGCAACAACCTGGACAAGGACTTGTGCTCTGGTTTCCCACTTGTAGGTGAGCTCTCACGTTCACCGAGCTGGCGTCCGAGAGCTGACGATTGGTATGAGCATCCAATCTCTGACCGAGTTTTTGCAGAACTCAATCGTCGCCTACAAGAAGTTTTGCAGGAGTCAGATAAGGGCCTCATCGTGGGCCCGTTCGAGGCTCACCCTGACTGGGGTTTCAAAACCGTAGGCATTGATAGCCGGGGTGATGGTTCCAAGCTGTTGCCTGTGGCTTTGGGTGCCGCTTACGCTGCTTTTGCTTTCAGTGTCGTGCAAGAAGGATCCGATGGCCACAAGACAACTCGCCAGTGCGAGGACTACCGTAGGTCCCACCATAACGATACAGTGCGGGCATACGACAAGCCCCCACATAATACTGTGGTTACATACGTGCGGGTCATTCGAGTTTGGTCTGCGCTGCACGAGGACGTGCAGGTTTGGTGCCAGGACATGCTGAGCGCATATAGACTAATATAGACCGTACCCTGTACGAGAGACAGCTCATGCTTACATGTTGTTGCAGTTGCCTCATGAAGTGTCAGTTTGGCGACACAACGTGTTGGATTTCGAGGCTTCTTCCGGGGTAAGCCTGTTCTGAGTCAGGCAATTTTGTAAGGCCTTGGTGACCCGTGCCATGCGCTCCTGATCCGGGCGCACTTCGACAAAATCCTTGGTTATGGAAATCCAGACCCCCAGCAGCCCCAGCACTTTCTGCAAGTCAGAAGGCAGCTGCTCCTTGCAAGGATTGACTCTAACCCAGAATGTCGCAGAGCTCACGAAAAGTGGGACCAGACGAATTCGCAGCCCAGCCGGGCTCCGGGCCACCAACATCATCGACGTTGTGGAGGGCTAAGACCATCACCAGACACGCACTTCTCGCTGGGCCCGACCCAAGTGCGTCCTGCTCCATCCGGCCTTTCGTCGGACGAGTGTGATTTATGTTGACGCCTCCTTCAAGTTGGGCGAAACATCCTGGAAGGTTGGTCATGCGGCCGTCAAGCACTGGACCAGGGCTTGCGTGTCCTCGTTGCCTAATGCTTGGGGCTTTTTGGCCAACATCGGCGACTTCACTACGGCAGGCCATGGCGCCGTGCCGTCTCGCATCATTGAGATGTTCATGACAAGGAAGGCCTACATCTTCTTCTTGGAGGTGGATGCTCAGATCATGGCTTTGACGGCCAGCCGACCGAGACTTGACCCATTGTGGCTTTGCTTCATCGACAATACGGCGGGAAAGCAGCTTTGGCTAAAGGTTGGAGCAGAAAGGGTTTAGCTAATGATGTGTTAGCCTTTACTCACATTCCGGATGGTTCGGTCACTCTGAGTGGGTGGCCAGCAAGCTCAACCTGATCCTGTGTCGTGGGGAGACATAGCAAGCGCAATAACGCATGGAGCCAAGTTCCTCTCGTCAGTCCCCGAGGGCTACTGGTCTCTTCTCCAGCGAATGGCTTCCAGCATGTTGTGACATCACGTCACGGTGTGGCGGTCCTGGCTGTGCCGTGTGTCGTGAACATCCACAGCACAGGCCACCAAACGTGATTTGTTGCATTATCGCATCCTTCAGTGGCCACTCCGGAAGAAAAAGAGTGAACATACAGATCTGCGCGAAGCTTCATGTCGAGCAGCGCACACTCGAAGGGACATGTTAGCAGAGTCGCTGAGCGGCCGCACCGCTGTAGCCATGCTGCTCGAGCGACTCGAGGAAATTTTTGCTTTTCCCGCCCTCCACCCATGCGGTACGGAGTCCGGTCACTTACGTTCCTGTCCCTGGTAGCCGCGTGGTTGCTCTAAAGTTTGGCTGTGACGTGAACATCCACAGCACAGGCCACGTGATTTGTTGCAATACGAAGCGGGCAGACCGGAAGAAAAGGAGTGAGCATACAGATCTGCACGAAGCTTCATGTCGAGTAGCACACGAGTGTGCGAAACGACATGTTAGCAGAGTCGCTGAGCAGCCACACCGTTGTAGCCGTGCTGTTCGAGCGACTCGAAAAAATTCTTGCTCTGCCCGCCCTCCACCCATACGGTACGGAGTCCGGTCACTTACGTTCCTGTCCCTGGTAGCCATGTGGTTGGCGGTACAGTCTGGCTGTGGCGTGAACATCCACAGCACAGGCCACCACACGTGATTCGTTGCATTACCAAGCGGGCAGACATCGTATCCTTCGGTGACCATTCTCGGAAAAAAAGGAGTGAACATACGGACTTGCGCGAAGCTTCATGTCAACCCCGAACATGGGGCCTTACAGCCTGAACCCCCAGCCTCCAGATTGTTCACCTTCCATTTTACGGTTGAAAACCCGCTGAAATCAAAGCCGCCAGAAGCCACGCAGGAAGAGGGATGGTTTTGTACCACTTATTCCCCACCGCATCTCTGACACCAGTGTCAGTGGCATGAGCATCAGCGTGGCTGAGCTGCAAGCCGATCTGATTGCATCTGTAAGATTGGGAACTATTTTGGTAGCACATCTATGCACACGCAGAGTTGTAGAATTCCACAGCAGTCAGTCACACCTGTGGCTGGTCAAGCAGTTGCTGATTGTCAGGTCAGTATACCTGATCCAAGAGGAATTGAGCTACATTCCGTCTGGACAAACGATGACTTCTCTCGCTGCACGATCGCAAGCATACTTTCTCTAGGGGATATGCAGCAGCTAAGGTTTGATCTTGAAAGAGGGCATGATGTTTTCTACAATCCGCTAGCTGTTTGATGCACTTGCACTGAATCGTTGATCAGGGTAGATATCTGATTCTGCAAGTTCAACACGCGCGATCGCCCAACTTTTTCCATCCGCAAGACATGGGCTCGGTGTGTCACAGCGCTACAACTCATGGTTTGGACTTAGTGACAGTCGTGCATCTTTCATCCAATGTCAAGATGCTGAGCCGAATGCACATTGTGCT